ATTGTCAAATATCCTTCTTTACCCTATCTACTGCATATATCTTAGTTCTGTGAGAATAAGCCGACAGATATTTGTTCAATCAATTCCAAGGTCGCCGAAACCACTCCACTTTATCTTTTGAATATAAAAGCTGAGATATTGCGCACGATCCCCGATCTTTTGACTTTGGACGCAAAACGTTACGTCAATCGAAATGAGTCTCGTAGAAATGTTTTAATGAGACCATTTCCGTTTTGAATGGATGCAAATTCTGAAGGTTTAGTTCAGCATTATGTGAACATTGCTCAACCGAGTTATGACACAGTGCACCCTTCTCATTTTTCTACCCATCTGTAAACATTAGCAATTTGGATAGTACCCGGTTAGAACAAGTACAGTTGAGAATGTGGATACATAAAGCTCATACTGACCTGACTTGACCTGAACACTGGGAGTGTTGAATGGTCAGATTGTAGCAAAAGGAAGAACTAACGTTAGTAATGGTAAACTCAGAAGTTTCTAGCAAGGTAAAAGTGTCTAACCAATTCCAAACATCTAGCTACAAATTATTGGCCTGATCGCAAACCAAAGGTAACAAGTTCGTGTGGTGCTTCGGATAGGTATTCCCGCAGCAAGACAACCGGCTGATCAGCATTAACCAACTGATTCACTTGGACGCATACTCCATGGAAAGAAGAGGGCGTGACGTGGTTGCATCAGATTGTACGCATGGAGATCTATAAACCATGGTGGCTGACCAGTTCAGAGGGAGGATTTGATGTTGATCAACAATCACCGAACCACTCGAATTATATGAATTAGGTCTTGTGCACCCTGAGCATCAGCTAACCACAAGCGGTCATATGATGGCACGCAAGCTACACTAACGAAAGACCCAGCGATGTAACGACTGTGTGCGTGTGGCCCCCACAAATTCAAGTATTGTTCACGCAAGGAGATCCAACGACCAGATCAGAACCTTATCGGTAGGACGGCGCATGAGGATATTTTCAGTAGTGCCGAAAGAGAGCGGGAACTAAGTACCTTACAACTTGAATTCAAGCTGCTCACGAGTAATCCCTCCGAATGTCACATCAAACAAGCTAGAGAGATGATACATGCAATAGGAGTACTGTGACAATCAAGGCACAGATGGAGTATCATTCGCTGTTTATTCCCATCATGATACTTGGAACAGAATAGTGGTTGTTAGTTTCAATTTCCCATGTTCCTTCCAATAGGTAGTCAAGGGTTTAAGCAGCACATCCCATGATCGCCTCCAAGAGAGCTTTATGGAATTCCAGGGAGTCTAGGTCAAAGTGCACAACCGCTGGGGTGTCCCCAGCCGAAATCTAAAATGACTCCCTACACAGCCCGCTACATGTGGCCCGACGTGAAAAAAGAGGAATGAAGACGCCAAGATGACGGATCAACAGAGAGGTTTCTATCCAGGTCACGCCAATAACTGGTATGGACAACAATAGTACTCACGGCGATAGAATATGACGCAGGGCGTGTAATAATGTCATTCTGTAGCCAGCCTGAGTGTTGTAGAATGTGAGTGAGCAGGAATCCTTGGAGATCAAGCTCCTCAACAGAAGGACAAGGTTAAGAAAAGTTAAATTTTGATGCATCACTGAAGAAGCTGAACGGGGTGGCTTAGGTAAGAAGGATAATTTAAACTGAGAGATGAATCGTTAAAACAATGGTGATTCAACGCAAAACAGGACTGATCATACTCCATGTTAAATCAGTGACACCTGGAGATGCGCAGTGCACTCGTTTTTGGTATCAGCGGGGTGAGAATGGAACGCAAAAGAGACGATCGGTAAATGCACTCAGTCTCGAAGAGCGTGGGAAAAACGGCACATTTTCACTTCGGGACATGGAATGGGGTTAAGCGAAGGTTGCGGTGGAACACACGTGTGGGGTGGAGGGAAGAACCAAAGTGAGTATTCATTAGAGCCGGAAAGTGCTTTTTGATTGGAGCCGACGGTGTGGTTATAAAAGTGCATGGCGCCATGGCCTCGCAATTGAGTTTAACAAGTGCAAGAGCATAACCTGATGACCTGAAACCAAATGAACATATGAGCAGGTGGAACGATAGTCGGTGTAACACAAAGTTAAGTGTACAACGGACTTTAGAAATAAGCTCGGATTAGTGAGGGGGAGAAAAGTTAGGATATAGCTTGCATAGGGCAGCAAACGGCCACCAAACAGATAAAAGCTGCGTTGAACCGAATTAGTCACCAATGTTCAACAGTATCAGAATACGTGAATGGATGAGTAGAATGATTAGGTACCGACCAGAAAAAAGTCAGCGTAAAGCAAACGATTGAGTCCACGTGTGGAGTGCACAGTGTAGTTACAGACTTAGTAAATCTGGAAAAGAGTGAACCAGAAGTAAAACCAGAAAGCAGTTTGTTTGAAGGAGGGGGAAGGAAAAATAAGTTCAGAATAGGAAGAACAGACCAGAGTATGCCGCAGAATATCGGTAGGCGGATAAAAGCAAGGTACATTGGTATAACAGATGACGTTCAACACTTGCTGAATCATTGTGAAAGTAATGCAGACCAAAAACTTGAATTCAGCCGACGGTGGCCGGACCGAAAAGCAGGCGTTCGAATCACAGTTATATACAATGAAGATAAAAGTGTAACGCTAGATCACAATCACTACTTCATCAACTTTGGAGATAGTAAACGGTACTCATAAAATAGCCTGGACGAACAAGCAGAAGCACGAACATTGTGATTCTAATAAGATGGTGTTGAAAGCGAAGCTTTCAAGCGGGACGATGGGAGTTTCGGAACTGCTCTCTCCTAACACTACATTCAACGAAATGGTGGGACCAAAATTTGGGTGGTGATAAAGCTACGATGGACATAGGATATCAGATCGATTTGGATAGTTGAGCGCATTTGGAGGTTTGCGAGTGAAACCCCAGAGGCTAATTTCCAAGGCAATTGAAATTGCTCAATCGGATAGCTGTGTGTGCGGAGCTATCGACTGTATGGAGCGCAACCTTAACCCGGCCAGTCTGATGAGCGTTGATACGTGGATCAAGTTGGATAACAATGACATCACCATCGTCATCAAGAACGTACTGGGTAACACGACGGACGGCGAACCTGCTGAAAAATCCCCACTCTGACTAGACCACATGAGATAAATTTCCACCTGTGTCTGTAAGAGTCCCTTGCCGCAGGTCTCAACTGTCCCGATTATCACCCTCAATTGCTATGGAATGTCAAACCATTCATGTACCAATGGACCTGGACATACGAAAGTTCAGCGTTAAAAGCGAAACGTTTCCAAATATTTAAACTAACTGATTGTTCGCAAATCTCTCTGAAACCATGAATTCTCGGTCGGTTCAAAGTACACTTCAAGATTTCGAAGTTGTAAAGTTATGTAAAGAAAGTCAAAATTGTCCTATGACAGAATGACAGTTAGGTGCTGCGGGTGTGTGAGAACTGACATTATCCAAGTGTGACAAAACAGCAGGAGTTTTGACGCAAGACCGGTGGTGTCAGAGCCACGTTACTGAAGGAACAGAATGAACATGATAAAAACTAATCGTCCAGATACCTATGTTTTTGGAGGATTTAATAAGCATAAATGGCCGACGCGTGCTACTCCATTAGCAACAGAGAAGACAACAATTGAAACGCAGAATTACTTAAGCGACTTTGATCAAATGAGCGTGTATCACAGTGAATGGTGGAATAAGTGCTCTTGTATCGAAGGTAGAGTGAAACTGACAAATGTCCGAGTTTTAGCACAAAATTTCGAAGACGAAGATGAGAAAACGAAAACGATGCGATAGTTATCGAAAAGCAAACGGTGCTCGTTGTCACAGATACGAAAAACAATCAAGCGTTCGAAAGACATGGCAGACGGTGATCGAACCCAAACGCAAGAAGCCCGATTGATTGGCAGGGTAAACAGATGAAGTGCGGATGGGTCACTGTGAGACACTCAAAAAGGAGTGCTGAATTTAACGGTTAAGGAAAAGCGAGGATGATTTACACATTGGGATTCACAGCTCAAGTCATCTCGAGTTGAGGATGTAACAGTCTGAAGATTTCTCCGGTGTGCCCGTGTAAAATTCTAACTAAAAATATTATTTCATTGTACACTTATGCGATAAGTGCTGATTGTTGAACTGGCTTTTCAGTTCCACTGACTGAGTCGAGCACGACCTTTGCTTGGCACTGGTTTCGATTGCAACGTAATCGCTCTTGAGTGTTGTGCCTTTTCGTTGCTCCTAGAAAGCAGATTCAACAGTGTCGTTTTTCATTGTGGGGCCAACAGGAAACCTTTAAGTGCACAAACTAAAAGCTTCGCTGCAACTTGATCTGCTCTTGGAATCGCAGTCTGAGCTCCCGCCAAAAGGAAGCAAGTTAAGAAGGAAGCAATGTGAAGCGCAGCGTTTGGAGAGAAAAACATGAAAATGGCTTCAGCGATCAACATCATCATTATACACGTTAGCTGCAGGTGAAAAAACAACAAGAAGAGGAAAACAACAGAGGCACGCCGGCTGAGACCTCAGTAACGGATAGACATCGTTTCGGAGAGCTAACAGCCGGCTATCGTATGTAAAAAGTTATATTATGCCTAGCGTGATTGGAGGGGAGGCCAAGCAGAAGGCAGATGGACAAAGTATTTCACAACACAAACGCCATTGGGGCCAGCTCCTAGCCATATCTGCAAGTGTGTCCAACCAAACGTGTTCATCGTCCTTAGGACCCCAGCCAGGCAGTCGGGATGCACCAACCGACGCCAACTTCGAAGTGAGGGTTTTCATTTCTCTCCATCAAGTCATCGCTTAGCCTCTCCTCCTTTTCCAACCGCACCCCCCGTGCGCAAAAAATGTACGCCGCGGGAGTCGGTGTACTGGCACGCGCAACACGTAGCCCAGCCATCGGAGCTTGGTGTGTGATATAATGTTGCTGAGCGGTTCACTCGCTCTTCCTGCACCAAATACGCTCGGTACTCACGCGGTGCTCCCACCAGACATGAGCTAAGCTGCGAAGGCAGCGATGATCGAATGTAACGAGCCTCTTTATGTCTGTCGACCTGATGGGCCAGGTTTCACAAAGGTACAGGAGGGCTGAACGGACAGCTGCGTTGTAAACTCTGCCCTTCAGGGCAAGAGTAATGTCGCGTCTGCGCCACAAGTGGTGGAGATTGGCAAAAGCACCTCGAGCTTTTGCTATACGGTTCGTAACCTCATCTTCAATTCCACGGGTGCTAATATAGCTGCCCAGGTACTTGAATTCCTGAACAACTTCCAGCAGATCACCACCAAGCGTTAGCGCAGGGTTGGGTCCCTGCCAATCTTGGAGAAGTACTTTGCATTTCGATGGAGCAAAGCATAGCCCAAAATGATTGACAGCCAGTGCTAATCGATCCAGTGCTATTTGGCATGTTTGGGAGCTGTCACAGATTAGGGCAATATCGTCTGCATACTCCAAGTCAAGAAGTCGCTCACCAGGAAGTAGCTCCACACCTTCTAGGTGGTGTGCAGCGAACGCTGCTTCTATGACTTCATCAATAGCGAAGTTGAAGAGGAAAGGTGACAGCGGGCATCCTTCTCTCACACCGCTGGTGATACTGAAGGGTGGCGACAGTTTGCCATAAACACTCACCCTGCCCGAGCTATGCGCGTACAGTGCTCTGATAATGTTTATATAATTATCAGGCACACCTTTCCCCAGTAGACAGTCCCAAAGGGCACATCGATCGACTGAGTCAAAGGCACCTTTTATGTCAAGAAACACGACAACGGTGGGTCACCAATAAACATGGCGGTGCTCCAATACAATGAAGCTTTCCTACAACAATTTCTTGATGCTCTGGCCATCGCAGACGATAATAAACGGCGCCCTATCTACTGCATCGAGCAGGGTAGATAGAGGTATGGATGCTACTGCTCAGGCCTTCCCGCAGGTCGGCACACACGACAGCGCGATCGGAGTCCATGCTGGTGCTCCAAATCGAGTAACAGATTTGGACGCAGCCTCTCCAGCGGTAACTAATCGCGATGTGATCGATTTGCGTCCATTGCTGACCCGAGACTGGTGGGCGTCAAGTCACTTTTCTGCGGGTGCTATCTCGAAAGTTAGTGCTGGCGAGAAAGAGACGAGCACCTCCACACAGGTGTAGCAGTCGCTCACCGTTATCATTAAAGGAGCCTACGCTATATCGGCCGCCCAGATGAAGCTCATCAGAGGGCGATTTTCCGACTTGAGCGTTTAGATCGGCAGTCAACACCACAGTATCCGTGCTTCTTCTGTAACGAAGAAGATCGTTAAGTTGGTGACAAAAATCATCTTTCACCGAATCAGGGATGCAGTTTGTGGGGGCGTAAGCCGCAATGACAAATAGGCACTATTTGTCCACGCACGACTTTGTAGCCTAGAACAAACCAGCTAATCTAACGGCGCACATCCTACTGTTGATTGGGATCCAGTCGATCAGAGTTGCTTAAGCTCGGAGACCCAAAACAATGCCGACGCCAGCTTGGCCGGCATTTGAAGCTGCATCAACGCCAGAGAGGCGCAATGAGAATGTGCCGCTAGTGTCGCATGTTGGAAATCGCAGGGTAAGCACGGAGCTTGAATCTGGCGGGCGGGTTTCTGATAAGCAGCAACTGTCGATCAGCGGTACGCCAGTCTTAGCGAAGATCGAGTACTTCAAAGGGAAACGGATGAACTGATGTTGTCCGCCTGGTTGAACATGCGCTTGTCGATTGGATTGGAGAGAAGCTCTACGATTGTATGTGAGTGGAAACTAGAAGACAAGCGACTATTCAAATAAGATGGGGACGGCCGACAATTGGGGAATTGAAAGCTGGGGACGAAAGCAAAATAATAATAATAATAATAATAATAATAATAATAATAATGGGTCAGCTGTACACCGTAACGGCGCTTCGCTGCCGTGCGACCACCACCAGTCGCACGCGGGCTGTGTATACCGCGAGGACGCCCACCCCTACGCGGATTCGAACACGCGCCGCAAGATTACGAGGCAAGCTTGTTACCTCTAGGCTACAGACTGACGATGAAAGTGAAGTTAGAGCGAGACGCTAGGAATGAAAAGGAGCAAAAGGGGGAGTAAGAAGGCGGGAAGGTCTTAGCAGTAGCATTCAAACCCCTATCCACCCTGCTCGATGCAGCAGATAGGGCGCAGTTTATTATCCCCTGTGACGGCCAAAGCATCAATTGTTAGGAGGAAAGGTCATGGTGCATTGCGTGGGCAGGAAACTGTCAGGTTGCCCAGGCCTAGACAGGAGAACGATTAGGGTTCTCAACCAAAGCCTTTAGTTCACACAAACCTTACCTTAAGGCAGCGGGGTTTTGGCACTGGACTACAGTGAGCCCCTTTTATGGAGTGAAGAGCCATCCTCACTTTAACCCCCAACCGGAGGACCAGGAGCCTGAGTTTGTCTGGCCTCTAACCATTGACCAATCTGGTATGAGTGGCTCTGAAGGTGCAAAAAGCACTACTCAGCATAGCCCAATGAATCACTAAGGCAAACAAACCATCGCACCATGTTAAGGTCCAGTCTCATCACAATGGGGTTCCGCGATGGTTTAGTGCAGCTCAGTTAGTTAGTTATAATACGAGAGTCAAACTGTGATGGATCAAGAAGAAAACACTAGCAGGACGCCGTACCGACGCTCCGTTGCCACGCAACCCTCACTAGTCACGCGCGGGCTAGGAATACTGAGAGGGTCACCCAGTCCCTTAAGCAGGCTCGAACCCGCAACCACCGGGTTGCAAGATAGACACCTTGCACTTTCAGCTACGAGCAGGCGATGGATCAAGTTGTCATGGAGAGCCACCACGACAACTGGAGGACAAATAACAAACAGGAGAAAAGACAAGGGGTTAAGAGGCGAGGATGCGTTGGATTAAGGACAAAGGAAACGAAGATGAATGAAAATACCAAGAAGCAGGAGGTTGTGTGCAACGGCGCCGCTGACTCAGCGACCTGACCACGTGAGGCTGAAAGTAAAACAACTAACGTGAGGATTCCGACACTCAAACGCAGTGATTCGGTATGCAACGGCTCGACCAAAGTATAGACCAATTCTTCGCAGTTTACCGTCAAACCGACGAATGACATCAGTGAGATATAGAAGTGGCGAGCAAGAGATGGCGAAAGGGTAGTAGACAGGTGTGCGAAGGACATAATCCAATGAACGCATACAATACAAATTAACAAGCCCCGGAGAATAGACGAGTAGTGCAAGTAAATTGTGGTAAAAGATCTGCGAACAATTTATGCCATCGGGAAGCAAAGCTGGTTGACAGTATCCCTAAGGTAGTCTACACATAGGTCAAGTAAGGTTACACCGGTTTGTATCGAAAAGAAAGCCTGCTCTCGCGCGGTAACGGTCAACATTTATCCCGAGGAAACTGGAAATTTACAATCATGGCAAAATTAGCCAGTTTGATTTTGTGATGGTACAAACTCATGGAGGGAAGGCATGCTCACGGATGGGGGAGGGGTGCAGCGGGCCGTGATTGATGATTGTGACGTGACCTATGCATTACACATTACCGGTTATATTACAGAAGTGATATACCTGGAAAGAATTGCTAAAAGTAGTTAGCAAAGGCGAAACAGATGACGCCGTACTCACTTGTTCCTTATCCTTTATTCGTCGCCAAGGAAGCTGGCCTGAAGCAAATTCCACTAGCATATAAAACATAGACCAAAGGTCGTCATGACGGCCCATTTCACGGTTCATGTGAGCATTTCGGGAAGCATACCGGACGGTGCCGCGAAAACCGGCGACAGGTCTTGGGGGGCGAACATCGCCCTTCGGCGTGACATATTGACGAGCGAGCCCAAAGTCCAATATGTAGATGGTACGGCTGTTGGTCGGTAGGCGTCCGACGGCAAAATTGGATGGTTTAATGTCCCTGTGCAGAAAGCCGGAGGCATGAATATTCTCAATCGCGTCCAAAATCTGTGCACTCAGTCGAATAGTTGTGGAGATGGAGAAAAATCCACGTGACATACTGCGGCGCAGGTCAGCAAGATTTCTACCCTAAAGCAAGAGAACAAATGAACGGTGAATGCCGTTTTATTCGGGACAGTGGAAGGTGTCGTGAATACATACGGTTGCTTAGAGGGTTATTCTGTTGCCGAGTCAGGGTATGATACGCACAAAAGGGCAGAGAACGACATTTGATGATCCGGAAAACTAAGATCAAAGAATGTCATTGAAGAAAAGCTGTTACAAATAAACGAGTTGCTGAAGGCAACGCATAAGACAAATGTTTTAGTTATTAGCTGCAACTTTCCAAAGCTAAAGAACAAAGATTAGAATAAGCAGGATGAAGCAGAAGTTGAAAGGTACCTGACAAGTTGAATGAGTCGTATAAACACGATATATGAGTACATCAATATATATAGACCTATACTCTTCTACTACCTAAGATGAAGGTAACATCCGCGTGAGTTCACTGACTGATTCACGGTGCATTTCTTGCAGCCATGCAGTAGATTTTACTGAGTCTTAGATGAGGACCTGAGCCTCCTGTTCACTGCTCCCAAGAGGATCTTCGCTTATGTGAAGCAGCGGCTGAGGTCTGCAGGAATTGTGTCAGTGTTGGAGGGGTCAGATGGACAGCCCCTAACCTAAGGTAGAGATTGTGCGTCCTCATTGGCGGCGCACTTCGCTTCTGTATTTGCAAGTGACCCGGTATCCGTACCGAGTTCGACGGGTACAGCCCCGCTGAACTTGACAGCCTGGATTGCAGTAGTGAAGATATACGCAAGCTGCTGGCGAGTCTTAACGGGACAAAACCTGCTGGACCAGATGGAATCTATTCAATGAACCCCATGTCCCTAGCAGCCATCATCTCGCCTTCTGTGACTGAGCACATGGGACTTTGTATCCCTTCCTCCGACTCTTCTTCCTTTTTGTTATTGTTACTCGTGTTGTGGCACTCTGCCAAATGTTTATTGGGTAAGCATGAAATACAAATACAATACACTGTGACTGAGCTGTTCAACAAGCGACCATTCACTGGTTCATTACCGGGCGACCGGAAATGCTCAGTCGTAAAGCCAATACCGAAATGTGATGACCCAAGCAAAGTAGATAACTACCGTCCGATCTGCCTGACCGCTGTTTTGGCAGACGCTTGAGATCATGAAGAATGATCTTCCGCAGCTTCTCGAGTCGAAAAGCCTCTTGACGACCGCACAGCATGGTTTTGTGGAAGATCATTTATTCATCATCAACCTGCTGTCAATGGGGCACAAATGGTTGCAAGCGCTGAAGCAAGGTAGTCGGTCGATGTCACTTACCTTGACTTCAATAAGGCTTTTGACAAGAAGAATCATGAGGTGCTTCTCCACAGGCTGAGGGTGTGCGGTGTTTGGCGGTTTGCTGCAACGATGGATCAGGAATTTCTTTGTTGGTCGAAAGTGCAGGGTCCAGATGGACAACCATCTGACCGACTGGTATTCTTCAAGCAGTGGCGTGCCCCAAGGCATTGCACTGGGGCCCATTTCGTTCCTGATCCATGTAAACGATATGCCCCAGCCTCTCGGTTCGTCTCGTGCGTTGTTTTCAGATGACTTGAAGGTGTGGGGAGTAAACCACGCACTCAATGACTGTGACCTGGTAAAGCGGGACCTCGACCACCTCTGCATGTGGCCTGTAGAGGTCAAACTTTGATTAACTCGGTCAAGTCGCAATTCATGAGGCTGTGGGCACGCTTATGCGAGCACAGTCGAAGCTACACTGTGGCCTGACAACCGTCGCATCCAGCGTCTTTCGTTAGACCTCGGTGTATTCCCACGCTGCGGCCTACAGTCCAAGGACAACACGAATAGGCTTTACCAAAACGGAGTTCGTATGCTTTAGGCAGTCAAATGCAGCTTCAGCACTTGGTCCAAAGAGATTGTCACTCGCCTCTTCATCTCTATACTATGACCGATGCTAGAGTGCGGCTCAGTCGCATACTGTCCTATCACCTTGGGCGAGGTAGAAAAGGTTGAGCGAGTGCAGCATGTAGCCACCAGGCTGATTCCCAATTCACGAGGTGTGCCGTACGAAGACCAGTGTAAGAAACTAGGGCTTTGCCCCTTATCTTATCGTCTACTGCGGGTCGACTTCATCATGACGCACCGGATACTACATCTCAGTGATTATCCCATGTTGAGACCGCTGCTACATTTGCGCACACTAAGAAGAATACGTGGACACCGGTACAAGTTTGTAGTACCGGATTTGAAGCGAGACGCTTACTAACTCTGTTTCGAAGTGATGAATGTATGGAACAAGGTTCCGAAGCAGGCAGTTGAGGCAAAATCGGTGTGAGGATTCAAGAAATTCCTGGACATACATTTTGTCTATATGAACTATATCAAGCGCACACCAACATAACGGGCCTTTGTAGCTGAGTGATATTACATGCCACTACGCAGAGATATCCCTTCATGCTGCTTCCAACCAGTAATCACGTTCGAGTGCACTGGCAGTATAGTAGTCCGATTACAAAAGCCCACACAAATTTACATAATCTCACGCGGCATCAATAGTCACACATTGGGGGAAGGATCGACTTATCTAATGCATACAGTGGGGTACATAAGTGAAAACACGCCACCGCTAGCGCATCCCTTCTTCTCCTTTTCTTCCATATTTGCCCCTCCGAGTCTCGATTTCCTGTGACCCATCCTGGATGTCCCAAACCCCCCACTCCAACGACTGCCCAGTGCAGTCGTACGCCTCCGTGGAATGTAGTCAAGATCGGATACTGAAATGTGTGCAAAATGTCGGACCAGGACATAAATGTGTATACCGAGCAACACTCTGCCTCCGTCGCCATGGAACTCGATCGTCACGGCATTGATATCGTCGTACCCAACGAAACGCTGCTGGCTGACCAAGGCAGGTTGTAGTACGAGGGCGCTGGCTTTGGATGAGAAACGTCTGCACATCTTCCATTATCCGAACACATCACGAATGTTAATCACGATCCGGTGCGTAGCGGCACCCATCCCCCATCTATGAGCATGTCTTCCCCCACAAGCTTGTACCATCACGAAATCAAACTGGTCAATTTTGTCGTGATTGCAAGTCTCCAGTTTTATCTGAACAAGAGTAACGACGTTTCCAAATTCTTGGAAGATACTTAGAACCGATCGAGTAGTCATGAGCTCAGAGAGGTTTGGAAACAATCGGTTGGTAAAGTAGTTTGGTAACGTTTCACCTTTGACACAAGAGCTTCGTCAGAGCAGGTGAATCAGTGTAATTGGGATGTGATTTTATAGCGAACAGGGCAACAACCACGTTACCCGAGACTTGAGCCATGATGTCATTACAGCAACCGTTTCCGATGTCACCTCAGGTGATATAATCACAGTGGGAATAGACCAGGTGTTCCTTTGTGCGTCATGAGATTAACGGATAAGCCCATAGTGTTGACAATAAGAGTCGGTCCGCACTTTCCAATCTGATCCACGATGCTCGTCAAGCTGGCCTGCTTAAAGTGCTACACCGGCAGTCAAGACCCACAGCCGAGTGGATAGGGACAGTCGGAATTCCGTACAAGGAAGGCACTTCGGAGGGTACTAAACAAGGAAAATACATGGGTAATCTTTCAGCGAAGTCGAACATTACGTTCGGCGCTGGTACACCTGAAAGATCCCCTTGCCAAGGACAGGACGACTAACTGTGTTTATAAAATTAAATGTAAGGACAGTGCACATGTGTACATAGGCCAAACAGCGAGAGAATTACGCACACGAATTTCGGAGTACAGGAAGCGCATTTCAAGACCACTAAGAAACGAGTTTGAATATCAGGTAATAGTAAGAGACTCGGCCGTAGCTGTGCATGCATTAGACACAGGTCACCAGATAGACCTCGAAAACGTAGAGGTGATTAGGAGGGGCGTACGATCAACACCTCAGCGGTTGATTGCCGAGGCGGTCGATTGCCAAATCTGGCGACTGCGTGAATAGGATTGAGGGGGTAGAACTCCCTAATGAGTGGCGGGCGGTCTTAAGCCGACCAGCTTGACGAGCATCGGTGCGTGGATCAGATTGGGAAGTGCGAACCGACTCTTATTGTCAACACTATGGGCTTATCCGTTAATCTCATGACGCACAAAGGAACACCTGGACTATTCCCACCGAAGCGAAAGCAACTTTGATGTCGAGGAATACGACTACGGTGGGTTGCCAATATATATGTGGATGTTCCAAAAACTGACATGAGGTTAAGATGTGGTCAATACTGCCCTGACTTCGTAGAAATCCGGCTTATGCATCAGGAATCTGGTCCAAATGTTATTCATAATAGAGAATGTCGAGAGAATCGTTGGACAGAACACTAAGGAGTAGCTCAATAGGCCGCTTGCTCCTAGACCTCTTGGTGCTTCGGTGTCGCCAGTTGCATAATAGGTCGTCAGTATAGAGGTCCTATGCGAGGTCGACGTTCGTAGTAGTATTTTCAACTCTAACTGGAAATTACACAAGCAAATGGACTTTTTCCAATTAGGCTAGATGATTTTGATGTCCATCTGGACGTTTTTGGAGCAAAATAGACATTTATTAAACCATATGTGACATTTTTCGGATCTCATTGGACACCATTTATTTTTGGTATGTAACAGGCAATTTAATGATTAAGAAATAAATAACAGTGTTGAATATAATACGCCGATGAAAGGTTGTCCCGCTGTGCATCAGTGTTGCGGTGTCCCTTCCTCCTCTCCCTAAAAAAGAACAAACTGAAAAAAATTTCAAAAACTGTGAGTGGCAAACTTGACGAAAAAAAGCATTTCTTGTTGCTCTTTTCTTATTATTCATATTGTTTTCCTATTCAGCCATGATTCCGATGGCACAATATCTGTACCACAGATTGTGTATTATATATATATATATATATATATATATATATATATATATATATATATATATATATATGTCCCGCTGTTGGGGTCCGCAATTTCGTTATCATATTGAGGACGTAAATCGCAATGCCCTGCGGCGCTACTAATTCGACCCTTTAATAGTCATGCATAG